GATTTTTGAGAAAATTAAAGGATTTTAAGTGTGCCTTATAGTGTGGAAAATACCTTATATAGAAGAAAATAATATATCGTGATATATATCGTTACCGCACATGCTTGAAATTATACCGCGATATGAATTTTAGGCCATATCGCCCAGCCCTAATAGACCACTTCTCCATGTGTTGCAGGGTCTGGTTATAGCGTCCTTCCAGCTGGAGAAATACAGTTCCACCGAAGGGCTGTGCGATATGACGAAATATATCGGATGACGAAATTAAAACATCAGTCGTTTCACATTATACACTATCATTTGTTTCATGGTGATGCAAAATGCACTGTTTATGGTAATATTTTTTTATTGTTTGGATGGTCACCGTGTGGATGCAGGCACAGAGAATGGCCAGTGAAGATGAGGCAGAATCAGGTAGCTCCAAACAGAAGGAGCAAGGGGCTTCCTCTGTAGCATGGACATGGTTTGGTTATGAGAAGTCTGACATGGACCAGAAAACTATGCAAATTATGCCGCAAACCGGCCACCACCACAGACTCAAACATGACAAACATCTTCCACCTACGCAAGAGTCACGTGAAAGAGTAAGGAGAGAGTTTGCGGATGAGAAGCAAAAAAGAGCCGTCAGGTACTCAAACAAAACCTTACACGCAAACATCACATAGCGCCACGCCATGTAATAAAGACTCACAAAGAAAATGGCGGCCGTTACAACTTATGTCTAAAAATGTATGGTTTCATGCATGGGTCAAAATTACTCAACTCCAGGTCACGGCGCCCAGCTGACAACACTTCACACAAGTCGAGTTTCCCGAGATTCATAGAATTTACAGAAAAAGCATCATTTTGTGATTTACATCATTATCGGGATGAGAAATATCTGATATCGGGATATGAGATTTTGACCATATCACACATATCAGCCCCAGTTCCCCCGGCTATGGAAAGTTTTGCCCAACTTCAAAACAACAGACTTTCTGGAGAAGTGGTTAAATGATATGAAGAACTGACACAACAGCAACGTGAAGGCTGGGCTCGCTGGTACACACTAAAGAGCAAAATAACACTTTAAGTAGTTCACTAATAAACGAGTCAAGACTCAGGCAAATATAGAATAAAAAGTGACAGCCATTGATATACCTGGAAGCACACCAAGCACAAAAACAGCCACCTTAAGGTGCTGTAAGGTAAAGACTCTACAGTAACACACAGTGGTGTGATAGTAATGTCTTTGAGATGGATGTCTGCCTGAATATTTTCTTATATAAGGTTCCCAACAGTTTATCAGTGAAAGCAGCTCCACCTAACTACACCTATCAGAACAGAAAGCATGTGCTTTATATACATATTAGTGTAGTTCTGTATTTCCACTTTATGTGACTTATAAGGTCATTAGGTACAGCTATTATCAAACATGGAGCCCTGCTCCAAGTCTGTCTCTGCTAAACTTAATCTGTTCACTTTTAATCAGCATCAGAATCATAAAAGCTCTTCTCAGTGTGATGCAATACACTCCCAGCAGCTACAGCTTTGAAAAATACACCATAGTGTTGAATCTAATTTATGTCACAATATCATTTTTACAAAGGATTTATTTCAAGTCTAATTCTGTTTGATCAAAGTAGACTGTACCAATGTTTCAGCTCAGTGCATCAGCGCGTCTAGAGCAAGGTGTTTCCTTACATTAATTTACCACAGCGGTTGGTGAATCAGATCAGGCCAGCATCATCATCAGAGGAGAGGAAATATACGTATCTGATTGGATAGTTGAACATTTGAACTTCCTGTTCCTCTTTGTTCCCTTCAGTTGGGTCAAGGCAGCTTGAATATTAAAAAGAAAACTGAGTGTGTGTCTTTTTTCCTTTCGGAGTGAGACATCTCTCGGTGCAATAGCAATAATAATCATGTCAGCTTGTGAAGACAGCAGTGGGGGGCTGATGTTTGATTCCTTTCTCATGAACAAATTGGTGCAGAACCCAACCGCCTCCCTCCACACCCCCCTACCCCACACTTCCCTTAGATGTGCTTTTTTGAGGCTCAAGTGGAAATTGGAATCCTTACTATTGTTACAGAGTGACAACCACATTATGTTTTCTCCTGGCGTACAGCAACAATTCACTTAATGTTCTATTTAAATACATCAACAGATTAAACTAGCATTGTGCAGGACATCACTGTTTTCATCATTGATTCTTGTTTCCTGTCCATTCAGTCGGTTTGGTACAAGAAATCTTCTTTATGGATTCACTGCAAGTGTAGCCACGGTAAACATAGTTTAAAATATGTATGCCTCAAAGATATAAAGGCCTGGATGATCTGTTCTCCTCTTTTCAGATTAGGTCAAACTTGAGGTTATTTGACTCTAAAAATATCAAACAGTGTCTGGAGCAGGAACATGAAGATTTTGCTCCATAGAGCAGCATTAACAGCCACAAAGCTCTGAAGCTCTCCTGTCTCTGTCCCCAAGTGTTCCCTGGCCTAATTATTAAGTGCAGTCGAGGGGTGTACCTAAGCTGCAGTAGAGAAAGCAAGACACACCCACACAGTAGGTTGTGGGTGATTATGTGCAGCTGCAGAGCCTACAATATCGTGACATGAGGCAGTAGTCGGTGATGGCAGACCACCAAACAAGCTTGGAGGAGAACGAGGCAGACCCCCATCGTCTTGTTGTTCTTAAATCAAATCAAATCAAATCACTTTTATTGTCACATCACATGTGCAGGTACACTGGTACAGTACATGTTCTCCAGTGTTAGTGAGGATTTTTACATTGTGGGCACACTTTGATCTTAAATGGGCCTGACCAGGGAAACTCTCCTTTCTGCCAGTGTAAAGAAGTTCAACTGCACATTTATTTCCTGAGATATCATAATATAAGATGGTGTGGATGGTCGTTGGGAGGTCTGTCCTACTAAACATTTGTCTGTTCAGTGGGCCAGTATTTGATTCTGGCCCACGGGCCTTATGTTTGACACCCCTGCCTTAAAATATTAAGCTCCTTCAAATAACTGATGTTGTGATCTGGAGCTGTACAAATAGAATATAGAAACAAGTATAGAAACATGAGTCGGATGGCTCTAGCAAGTGCACATTCTCAGCTTGCGTGTTAGCCTGTTGTTTCATTAGCTGTGTAGTCCAAGTTATTTTTTTTTATTAACTAGCTAACTAGGACTTGTTTGGAGGCTTTTATTCCTGAAGTTCTGTTTAAGTGCGTCTGATCCCTGAGCGCTCATTTGAAATGGTTTTCAGGTTTAGTCGACATATTTTACAGCCTGTTGTCTGGTTGTGCCGCTGACTCCCAAGTGTGTAAATCATTTGAACTCTTAAGTCGCTCTTACACTGTCATTCATAATTTAGGCTCAAAAGGCCTTTTTTGTTTCTTTCTTTTTCTTGTGTTCAGCGTCAAGGACTTTTCTGGGTTTGTTTGCAGCTCTTCTAAAATCACAAACGCCATTTCTTCTCAGGCTCCATCTTTCTTTGAATTGTAGTCATTCTGTTTCATTTATTCACATTACCAACACATTCCCCAAGTCTCTGGTAATTAGAAACACAGTAGCTGCCACAGATGCATTTGTGCATGTTAAACAGGAACATGTTTTTTTTTAAATTAAGATTAATGTGCCAAATGCAGTTCCTTCTGTCCATTTCAGGTTTTCTGTATGATGTAAATTATGTGCTGCCTCATGTGATGAAGTACTTACATCTGTGAGATCTGTACTGTGTTGTTTCTGCAGTGAAAGGTCATTCTGTCATTGTGAACGGCTCAAATGAAAGCCTCTGCTTACCCACTTCTTACACTGGAAGTTGCCCGGAGCGCACTGATTCCTAATGACACATAAAATACGTCGCAAATACAAAGTTTAGTTTCAGAGGAAAAATAAAAAAGGGGATGGGGTTTGATTAATAGCGGTTTGTTTTCAGCTGTGGTGGTTTGCAGTGCTGTAATGAGTGTTTTGTGCAGCTGCATGGAATTTGTGGGACTGAGTTAAAATGAACTAAAATTATTGTATGATCAGTACAGTGAAGGATTCTGTCAGCAAATGTGGGGCTCAGAGGAACCGGATAGACTTTGCATGTACACGCTGCACTACTCATCTATTCATCAGTTGGCCAGTGTGCTGACTGGATTAGATTCAGACTGATGTGAGTGAAAGTAAACACACGTAACACTGTGCTCATCTGGTCTTAACTGGTTGTTTTCTTCCTGCAGCCTACAGCACTTTCTACATCATCGGCCTCATCCTGTCCATGCAGATCCCATTTGTGGGCTTTCAGCCAATCAGGACCAGTGAACACATGGCTGCAGCAGGTCAGTAACCAGTCACCTGGGGTAGGGGTGGAAAGTATTGTTGGAAGTCTGGAATATGTTTACTGCAAAGCTATGGAGCAAGTCAGGTTTTCTAACATTCAGCAGAATCATTTTTATACTTGCAAAAAAAAAATCTGCACTGCTCTCATACTTTGTCAAACACTGTACAGTATGCTAAAAGCTAGATTTCTACTGTGAAGACTGAAGTGTAGATTGAATGCATGTCTTGCCTACGACGTTTGCTCATTTCCATGGAAGCATTTGCTTTGCGTGCTCTAAAAAATGATGTAATTATCTGCAGTTTTATTTTTACTTTGTCAGATACAACTTCTCGCTTTGCTTCTCTTCTGGTGACTTTAAACAGTTCTGCATGTATTTTCTGGTTGTGTTTATTTCAGATCTTAAACCCAGTCTTGTTTGCACTGTGTCTCTGCAGGTGTGTTTGTGCTGCTACAGGTCTACGCCTTCCTGCAGTACCTAAAGGACAGACTGACCAGGCAGGAGTTCCAGACTCTCTTCTTCTTGGGAGTCTCTCTGGCTGCTGGAGTTGTTTTTCTCTCTGTCATCTATCTGACATACACAGGTTGGTTATCTATTAGAAGGCTGGTTGTTTTATTTGACAGTGTGTAGTAAAGATAGATAAATATGTGGCGAGAAGCAGAGAAATGACATGCAGTAAAGTTTAATCTA